GAGAATGCTGTGGGAAAGGGTGTCAAAAGCTCTACTGAAGTCCAGGTAAGCAACATCCACAGCCTTTCCCTTGTCCACTGAGCAGGTCACCTTGTCACAGAAGGAGATCAGATCAGTCAAGCAGGACCTGCCTTTCATAAACCCATGCTGACTGGGCCTGATCACCTGGTTGTCCTGTACATGCCATGTGATGGCACTCAAAATGATCTTCTCCATAACCTTCTTGGGACCAAGGCCAGGCTGACAGGCCTGTAGTTACCTGGATCCTCCTTCTGGCCCTTCTTGTAGATAGGCATCACATTTGCTAACTTCTAGTCAGTGGGGACCAGGTTAGCCAGGACTGCTGATAAATGATGGAAAGTGGCTTGGTGAGCACTTCTGTCAGCTCCCTCAGTACCCTTGGGTGAATCCCATCCGGCCCCATAGACTTGTGTATGTCTAAGTGGTGCAGCAAGTCACTAACCGTTTCCCCTTGGATTACGGGGGCTTCATTCTGCTCCCTGTCCCTGTTGTCCAGCTGAGGGGAATATGTACCATTCTTAAAAATTGAAAATAAAGTTGAAAAAAAATGAGAGCATTTTGTTGAAATTCAGGCATGGCAGCATGAGACCAGTTTAAATGTAGCAGAATCTAATGGGAAAACATATATACTATTGCTTGAGTGTTTTGCAAAAGATTCACTCACCATACAAGCCCATTTTCATTGACAACTTCTCCAAATAGTATGGGAGATCCTCTGTAGTAGCAGGGGCATTCATTAGCAGGCACACATTTGCCACTCTCATCCATGTAGGTTCCATCTACACAGGTGCAGCCATCAACTGGGACAAACTTAATGTTGCATGTAACATCAGGCTCACTCAGAGATCGACAAGTGGGTTGACAGGAAGAGATAGTATAGCTGTAGCTTAGAGATTTGGGACATGAGGTGGTGTATTTTGCTTAAGAAAGGAAAACAGAATAGGTGTGTTAATTCCAGATCGTAATTTTTTTGGGGAAAAAAGAAACCATAGGGAGTAGACATAACATGTAAATAATACTGTACACCTCTGCCTATGTTGGATCTTTCATGTAAATGTATTTCTGAATACTTCCAGAGTTAGACCTGAAAAGCTACTGTACATGTGGAGTAAGTAATGTATGCAAAGAAGAAAATATTTTTTCAAATGAAATTTCAGAAAGAAACTCCATTTAGCACTGCCATTCATTGCCAAGACTCCTAAACCTTTTGAAGTACAAGACAAGATGTCTTCCTGAATGTCTTCTGGTATACTGAAAACAGACCTACTGGATCAGTGAAACCCAGCATGCAGCTTCAGAGACCTTTCATTTGCAAGTGTCCTGGTTAGTATTACTAGTACTGTTATTCTAATATGTCACATTTTTCCTACAATAACTTGTGATACATAAAGCTGTAGTGAAATTCAAAGTTGCACAGAAACAGGTGGAGGCATGTCCATAACAGTAGTCTCTTTCCTAAGCAAGCTATGTCTCCCATCTATTCATATTCACTCTTGCTAGCAATGGATTGATTCTAAGGGAACAGCAGACAATTACTTCTAGGAGTGTGGTTAACAAAATCCCTTCCTCAGCACTTACTATATTTGTCTAGAAATCAGTAGAAAATAATCTCTGATCAGCAGTTTTTATTGATGTGTGTTCTTAGGAAAGGGGATAATTAGGAGTACTTACAGCAGACGTCAGTCCTCCATCCACGCAGCTGGATTCCTTTTGCAGCGCAAGCTCTCACATAGGAAGACAGGGCTGCACACAGACAGTCCTCACTATTTGCACAGTTACATGTGTCAAATATGCAATTCTAAGAATGCAAAGAAAAGTAAAGTCTCAGCACTGGTAATCTTGCCAATCTAAAAAAAAAGGAACATTATCTTTCTGGTCTTATGCACTAATTGGTCTTCAGATATGCCCATCCATAGACAACACTAGCATAGCTTTATCACTTTCCAGTCTTTGTCTAAGTTTCCTGGCAGATGGGAATGAAGGTAATGGAACTTCAGTTGATGTCTGCAGTTATTATTGGGAAATAGTGGTCTTAAAGCCTGTTATACATTTAACAGCTTCCTGTTCCTCTGAACCATATTTACAAATATGCTGCACAATAGCACACAAAGCTCTATTCACAGTACGCAGCCTAGACACGTCATTTCACCAGTGTCCATACCTGGATGATTCATAGTGAGAAGAGAGATTGGCAACCCACTGCCAGCAGAATGATCAGAATTAGCTAGTGGGCTTTCTGTGCCAAGTAGTTTATAATGAGGTACAAGGCTGATGAGACAACAATTCACTGATATTGAAACAAGCATTTGACATGCGTTTACATACACTTCCTACTACGTGTGTATATCCACCCAGGAGTAAATAGCTGCCTTTTCATTTGCAAGCAAGTCAGGATCTTGAAGCCAAGACTGATAATTGCAATAAGGTAATGTTACAACATAAATAGCAAGACATCTTGAAAGACGGAAGTGCTGTAGTACTGAAATTAAAATACAGGCATTGCGTAAAACAAGAGACACGCCTGGAATAGCCCTTTTCTGGTAGTTAGTTGTAATGATCATATTTCTATTGTTTCTAAAAGGAAAAACAAAGTACCATGTGGTAAAGAGAGGGATTCACGGCATAGTGACAATCAGCAAAACGTCCCTTGCGGTCAGTTAGTAGTCCACACCAATGGTGAGCATATTTTTCTGTGAAGAGAACAAACAATACAAATGCACATTACTCTGAATTTCATTAGTTGCAAAACTACACTGCCCTGGTCCATGAAGCCAGTTCTGAAATTACATCAAATCTCTCTTTCTCCTGTCTTTTTTTCACTCAGCTTGTGGGCTAAGGTTCCTAAAACCAAAGAATAGGACTCGCTGAAGGAGATGAATAAAATATTTCCAAAGATACTCCTGCAATCCACTCCTCTGACACCAAGTTGTCAGCTTAGACATCCTCTCTGTTTTCAATGATCATACAGTTTCCTTCAGCTATGTTTCTATGACTCTTCCTTTACTTTACTTACCCCTAGTGCTTTCATTTTGAATATTTGTTTCTGATTTCAGATGTATGTTTTTACCAAGTATGTAAGTCTTTATTCTCTTATCTTTGCTTTCCAACACATGTGCTTTCCTTAGGGATGGGCAAAAAAAAACCTAGAAAAAATTCTAAGAAGCACGCACCATTATCAATGCTGAGTGCACAAGGGTTCTCAAAACTGCGCTGGGTATTAGGGCATGAAGCCTGAGTTTTCCATGTATTAGCAAATGCTGTTGCTGTTCCTTCAATTATTCCACTTATGACCTTGAAGTCATCAGTTTGGATATTATTGAAATTTCCACAGAGACCTGTTGAAAAGCAGTGAAAAGTTTATACTGCTTATACTAGACAGAAGACGTTAAGCAAGATTTTCTTGTATTTCATTCACTTACCACAGGTCTGGCCTTTGAAAATAGGATCCAGTCGCACAAACACTTGCATGATGGGTATGATTTGGATTTCAAGTTGGACGCCGAAGTTTGTCTGCATGATGATGAAGAATGATGAAGGTCTGAATATGGTGACGTTAGCTACAGATTAAAAACAGAATGAACACTTTCTGAATGAGGTCAAATGCTGGAAACAGTGCATCATTATACTATTCTTGTTGAATTTCTATGCAATTGTTGCACATTCTGAGGTGAAATAATCTTTATGAAGATGAATCAGAAATATAAATCAAAATTTACAGTTCAGAATTTGCTTGTAGCTACCAAGTTGTTAACTTCATTTGCCCTCTCAACATAAAGCAGTTGGAGGTTACTCTTTCCAAGAACATAAGAAAGAAAAACTGTATGGCACTGAGCGTCAAAAAGAATACTTCTATTTTTGTTTCTAAGCTTGTACAGCATATATTGGAACCCTCATTCTGCTGGAAAGGGAAAATAAGCAGATCTGGAGGTCAGAGATACCACATCAAATCATTATTTATTGAGACAGACAGCAAAAATCAAATTTCTGTCTGAGGAAGTGTGAACACAAGGGTAGTAAGTTAAAAAAAAAAAGAAGAGGTAGAAAAGGTAAACAAATGTCTTCTGTGTTCAATTTTGGAAAGTGAGAAGGAAGTAAACCTTACAGTGATCGGATCAGGAGAGTGTAAATGCTGTTTGCTTCTGTTTGAGCTATTATCTATGCTTATACTGTCTCGTATTTCTTTATGGCACCAAACTTCCCACTTCTACTTCAAAAGCACTTGTGTGACTCAGAAATTACCCCAAAGAGAACTGATGTGAACATGCAGGTTCTGAACAACTCACAGTCATTTTATCTTCCATAGTTTAAAAAACTAAGCAGGTGTGGAGTTGAAGTTCTGAGCTTATTGCTCATGGACTGTTAGAGAAAAAAATACCTGCTGATATGGGCAGCTGGGTGTAGATCGAGTTCACAAACACACCACCATCAGGTTTGACCTCGATGAGCTGATAAGGAAGAGGAACAAGAGGCAACTGTGTGAAGGATATACTCCAAAGAGTAATAATGATGATGACTCCAGTGATATTAATTAAAAAGATATTAAGAAAAAAGGGTAGGTTTTTGTGATTTCATCTCCTCCCTCTGTCCGTTTTGTACACTTTACTAATTTTCCCTGTCATAAAAGAATTATTTTTAAAGAGACTTTCTCAACTCCTTAGGGAATTACATCATCTTGGGCTCTTTGAACACATCTTTGTGATGAATTACATTCCTTACTGTTGTAGTTTCTAACCTAAGAGCTCATGGTTTTTCCATCTAGTTGGCAGAGAAAATAGGTTTTTTTCTGCTTTGCGAGTATGATGTTCTTCTTAATGAACTTCCACAAAGCCAAATTTATGGCTGATCTGATTTTCATAACAAAATCAATTTCTTTTCACTTGATTAAAAATAACATGTACTTATCGCATATGCTGACCATTTGAGAGAGAAATGCAGTCCCCTGACTGTTTAAGGCCAAGCTTCTTTGCTCCCCATATTTTTAATAACCATTTCCCATGCGTATTTTGCATTCTTACAGTTTGTCCTTTATTCATGTTGAGTGTCACTGTCTTTAAGCATGTCTCAGTGTCTGTTAGGCCACATTTGCGTAGTTCTGCCAGGATGGTGAATGTTTCATCTTTACAGTGCTGAAAAAAAAAGCCAACAGTTATTTCACAAAAGGCTAATTACAGAAGCTTTCCCTGTAAAATTTTCTCTCAACTCTGAAGAAATACTTCTGTTTCTGGAGAAGATCCAGGCTCTCCCAAATCCCAGGCCTTCTTTAGCCTAAGATTCAGTTTTGCCTTTTGTAATGATTAGGAACAACAATAGAATTAGAATTTTTTGCATTTTATTGATGATATCCATATTTGGAGTTTTTATTCATACCCACTTCTAATGTTTGATTCAACTCTACCGTATCACTCATCTTTGTGTAGTTGGTATCAATGCTAGAAAAAAAAACCTCAGATAAAACGTTTTTCAGGAGAACTGTAACATACAGCATTTTTTTAAAACTGACTTGTGCAGACAGGGAAAAAAGAAAGCAAAGAACAAATAGAAAAAGCCCCTAAAAATCAAAACATTTCACTTGTACATTGCTGTAATTAAATTTTGATTATAATTCACTTTTAATTTTTCTATTTCATTGACTTACTTTTAAATCTGTTTAAAAATGTTCAAAACCTAAATGAAATGTATCAGTTGACTTGAACTGATTTTCTGTATTTGAACTTCCCAGAAATGAAATAAAAATATTAGTCTTACAGATTCAATTTTACTTTTTTTTTTCAGACTTGTACCATTTGGCCCAATACCATATAATACAGTAACATGGCAAAAATTATGCAGCTGTGTAAGAAAGCTGGATTAATCACACTGAAGAATGTAGACCAAGCAAGTTCTTAAAAAAGGCAATGCTCTTCAGCAATTACTACATCACAGAGCTGGAAATTCCCCAGTAAACACCATATACTGTTGCACCACAGCCTAACAGTTAACTGATGATTGTCATTTGAATGGCAGCATATGTTCTAGTAAACACCTGGGTAAGTGAGAGGCAATTTAACATCTGTATGTCAAAAGAGGTAAGTTTCAAAAGTGTTGATTGAGATCACCTTTTCTTTCTATAAATTTATAAGGCTTTATGACCTAGTAATATCTGATTCCCACCTTAGAAAGGACATAAGTGCAGTCTCCATGGTGATCATAATGTTTTCTATCATATGTGGAAATGTGCGAACCTCCCTCTACTGAACATGTTCCTGGGCATGACATGTCTTGGCAACTCCACTGGCCTCCATTACAGGTACTGGAAGAGAGGATAAAGTTAGCTGAAATCAGTATCAGTGATCCAGAGTAAAAGGAATTACAGTGATGTTAGGTTCAGCTATTTTGCTACTGTTTTTCATCTTCAAGCTGTAGTTTGACACACAGTAAATCTAGGTTTAAGACTTTCCAAAACATTGTGAACATGTGATGCAATGCATTGAAAGGAATGACTCCAGCATGCATTCACTTTGCTTATTTAATTGTTTTCCTTCTTTGGACAGGTGAACTCTCCAGCAACAGGTAATGGCTGAGTAATTGATTGTTTTTTGCAGATAACATAAAGCACAATGATAAATTAAAATCTCTTCTGTTTTGTTATACGAATGTATCAGAAAGTAACAGAAATGTAACCCCACATCTACTTTTGATGCAGAGCATATCTATTTTCTAAGGTAATGTGACATTGCACAGGTACAGAATTAATAGTTGTGAAATCAAGGTTGTATTGTGTCACCTCGTGCTTTCTCCAGAGAAAATAAATATTTGCAAATACGTAAATGACTGCAACTTCATTCCCCTTAGAGAAGACCAAATGTTTGAACAAAATAAACAAAGAGGAAACTTTTTAGTTGACTGGTGAGAAATCTAAACATTGTAAATCCTTGCTTTGATCACCTTGAGTTATAGTGCAAAGCTACTTAAGGCTGTTGCTAAATAAATAAAGAATGTTCTTTAGGGATACTTTGGAACTGTCGTGGTCAGTTAAATACACATATCAATTACCAATGATGCAATTGCATATAATAAACCATTAAACTCATTAAATATATGAGAGGAAATAGTAAGTTAGAAAAGTAATAAAGGTCACCAGGAATGGCACTGCTCTGAAAAAGAAGTTCCTGTAGCATAGGTGTTGCCATTGTAAACACAGGAGCACTGCTGATGGGGAATGCAGCCAGAATTGTTGATGTCATCAAATACAGTCCCTAGATTAAAAAAAAAGGCAAAACTTTGATCAATTAAAGAGGCAGTTCCTATGCATGATTTTTATTTGTTACAAATCCTAAATATTGTCTTAGAGACAGATCTGCAGCTGTCATGACTGGACATATCTATGCTGAGGACAGCAGGACTATGCCAATTTGCCCAATGAAGTATTCAAGCTTTGTATTCTTAAATTCCACCTGCTTTGAAAGAGGGACTTACTGCAGCACAGGTGGCTTGTTGAGAGGCTGGTCTGGATCTGTTTGCTGTTCTGCATTCCTAATGCTTTTTTAATATTGCACATGTATTGACAATTAATTCAGATACATTTTCTGAGCTGAGACATGACAAATGCTTGTCACTTGCAGCTGTGAAAAATGCAAATATAGGAGGCTTAAACCCATGGAACCTTCCCAAATCCTACAGGTAAGCTGTTGTTATTCTCTGAGATCAGAGATGTGAGTAATAAGAACTTGCCTGGGGGGCAGAAACAACCATCCATACAGTGTTCTTCACAAAACTGAGATCGTTCAGGATTGGTGCATGTGTCAGCACAGGGGGAGCTGCACTCCTGGTACTGCATGTTGTAAGGACACTTCTTGGCTGAAATTTTAAAGGAGGAGAGGGGTTTTTCAGTCAAAAGTATTTCTAGTTCACTGTGTATGAAAATATTTATATTCATCTAAGTTTTTCAGGTAGATGTAAAACCACACTAAACTGCAGTTCGACCTCCAGCTCTCCCAAGTTTAGTCACCTAGATCCATATTTTACAGTTGAAATATGCTTTCCATGACTGTCTGGTGCTGAACTGGCTCAATAACTGGATTTCTGGGGAGAGCAAGGTAATGACTCTACAAAGTCAGCAAGGCCTGTGTTTCTACTGAAGGCACCCTTCTCATGAACAGCTTTATTGCTAGTGAAATGTAAGACTTAAATTCCCAAAGAATTAGTATATTTGCATTTTTCAGATACCATTGGAAGGGCAAATAATACCCCATAGGCTTTTGTTTTGGAGCCAATGCTGGTGACAGTATCAACAGCTACATCCCATAATCCAGTATGTGTTTAATTCAGTGCAAATCTCCATGAAGATTACAGTGCTGCAAACTCCTCACTAGCAAGGAAGAGGAGATAAATAAATGCTTAACCAGCCAAACATCTGTGAGGACCAAATCAGTTAATATTTGAGAATGAAAAATCCTGTAACCACCATGAGAAAAGGAGAGAAACAGTAATACAAGCAAGCAAGTACACCTCATTGTTTCTCCTTCTTTCACCTTTATTTACTGTCCCAGTTAATTAAATAACACTGACTCTCAATTAGAGTATCCATGTGTTTGATAGTGTTTGATCTAGTTTTCATAAAAACCCTTAGCTCTTTTGCAGAAGTCTTCATGCTGGAACTTGTACCTCAGAACTCTCTGGAGAATACAATCTTGAATGGCCTGTAATTTCTCATGCATCCTTAGCATCATTTGAGAGCTTGTTGTTAGTTACTAAGCATTTATGCTTAAGACCATCTCCAGTGATACTTACGGCACAGTTTTGAGGTTCTCCAGTTCAGAGGATGCCCACCAGCATGAGCACACTGTCGGGAGTATTCAGCAAAGGTGTGACAGATACACGAGGCGTTTTTAGACTCTTCAGAGAGGCACAAGTCATCTTGGCAAGCCATAATGTACTCACTAACATCAACTAGCCCGTTACACTCTGCAAATGCAGAGCTGGTCAAAGTTTTCTGGCATATGTCATCCTTGGGAGAAAAAAAATAAACAACTTCCAGGAAATAGAAAGGACCAATTTTTTGGTATTGTTACTTTGTATAATTATTTTTTAATAAAATCTTATATCCCCCTTTAAGTTGCTGTCACCCGAAAGATTTTCCTGTTGACCCGTCTGAAGCTGCAGAAGGGTACAGATAAATTTGAAAGAAAAATAAAATTATAGTGAAAAGATCCTTACAAAATTATCAGTGCAATTATCTGGCAGGGTAGAAGTGGAGTCTTCACAGTATTCTGTTGGTCCATCCATTTTCTGCATATTCCCAAACTGCAAGGCTGTCATCTTAATATCTGTACAAAGGAGGTTTAATAATGAAGGTTAGGTTTTTTTTGTTCAATGCAACTGCCTGTTATCTTTTTGTCCTCTCCAGAATTCTGCCCAAGACTGGCCAAGGCAGTTAGTTCCCTTAAGTCTTTAAATTTGATCATCACCCCTTCCAAAGGAAGCACTACATCACTGTCTCAATTTACCTTGCACAGCACCCTGGAAAAAGTAAACATTAGAAAACAATTCTCAGCCTGTTACATAGATGCAAACTAAAATTTTTACCAGAAAAATAACAAACTGTTTTCAGATTATGATGAGCCCATGCAAGGAAAAGAGAAAAGAATCTAAACAGGGATTTGGACAATGGAGACTGCTGTGAGATAAGGTTTAGGAAAAAGCTCAAGCTGGGAATAGATAGAATGATGAAGATAAAATCTTACAAAGATTACACAATTCAGCGGGCAAATGTAGATATACCAATTTTAAGAGAGAACTGAAACAATAAATGTACTGACTAGATAAATTGCATTTTGTTTTATTGAATATATTTCTATATTTCGGTATGTTATTAGTGAAAATCTGGCTCATTTTTATGGAGTTAGCTGATTAGGTAAATAAAACCATGGTATACAAGAAAAAGTGATCAGTTGTTAGCACCAGTACTATATTTATACTTAAAGTATTAAATCACGTTATCTGATCTCTGCACTACGTATTTTTCAACAGAGACTGAATCATCTTCTGGGTAAATCATTTAACAGGATAGGAAAGAGGAATGCTGATGATGTTAGAGTTAAAAGAATACCAAAAAAAGCATGTTGGAGACTCCAGAAACCAATTTTTATTATTTAAAAAACTTACTGTTTGAATAGAACTCATTGTAAATTGGAAAGCCATTGAAGTCCCCACAAAGTCCACAGGTCTGATTGGCATATTTCTCATTCAATTCCAGCTAAAATGATGGACAGTAAGTTGATAGAAGTTAGTATAAACATTCTAAAATATGTCCAAGACCACTGAAAGCACCTACACTTGCTGCCTTTATTTTTCTTCAGATCTGTGTCATTTTATTTAGCAATCTAATTCAAATCTGGGGGATAGAATGAAGAGTTGGCTTGTAATATCTACATTGCTCTCAGCCTCTTTCTTTCCATTCTTCAGCAAGAAAATCAAATCCACAGCAAAAATGAAATCCTAAGAGAGTGAAGTTCTGCTAGAAAATTATGTTTAAAGGGGTAAGTAGGCCTTATAACAATGCCAACGTGCTAACGATAGAATGAAAGTGATTTTTCACCCTATTTTAAGCAGATATCTGCCATACACTAGACATAAATCCATGTAATTTTCTTTAGGACTACTTGGATGCAGACCTATCTTTATTAAGAAAGAATTGCTCAACAGTATGAGATGAGAGGGCAACAGTAACCCTGTAAACAGATAGGGACTAGCCTAATCAAAGATTAGCTCTAGTCTCTGAAGGTGTAGACAGGTTCAGGAGCAGTTCTTACCAAGATACTGTCATCTTCATTCCACATTAACACAATACCCATTTTGCTGGCAACTTTCACATAAATACTGCTTTTCTCTATCGTAATTCCAGATTGGCTGTACGGCAGTTGAACTCTGGGAAAAGGCAGAAAGAATGGTAGGTATTTTCTGATCCAGATGTTTGATAAAAAGTAAAAAAATGGCTTGTGGTATCCAGCATCTGTAGGGATTCTAAAATAATGCAGTTGTGTGGAAAGAAAAGCAATTAAAAAATAAGATGGTCCAACATCATCAAATATGGATCTGAATTTGGACCCAGCCTCTCAGGACTTTTCATTCAAATTTTGGTTTTGAGATGATCTTTAAGGGAAGGATTGATTTACTGTGAAAGGAATGAATAGTAACTTACTAATTATTTATGTTGATAAAATTGTCAGATTTATTGAAGAACACATAATTTTTCACCACCAAATACACCAAAGTACTTGGCAAGTTTGGGAAAAAAAAAAGTCTGTGGTTACCAGACAAGTGTTATGAGTAAACTTACCTGTTGCTGTTGATCATGACAACATCCTTTGTTAGTTCAGCAGCTACACCTTCAAGTCGCATGGTGATACGACTGATTGTTGGAGCATTGTCCACCACTATGCGCCTAATCTGGATGTTGAAATCCTCATAGGGAGCATTGCAATGGGATGCAAAAACATAATTACAGAGCCCAGGGAAGAAGAATATGTCTCCATCAAAGGTCTTGAAGTGGAAGTTGCCCCATGTACTGCACACGCGGCCATTGTGAGCAGGATTGGAAGCTGTGAATTAAAAGTAGCTGTAAAAACATGACTTAAAATTCCCGACCTTAACATGGTGAAAATCACCTGGTCCAAGACTCCATTTTGTTGTTGAATAGTTTTCATCTGCCTATGTCCATTTGTTATTTTCTGTCCATCTATCCATTATAAAACTGTGTATTCATTCTTTGCTCATCTTATATATCCCTATAAATGGTTATAGTTATGTTCAGCTAGAGCTTTATTAGTTGTCCACATTTCAGTTAAGATAACAGTTCAATATTATGTTTCTTAATCACCTTCTTTGTCCTCTTAATAATCCATGACTTTGTTTACCAATGCCTTTTCCTATTTGTATCAAATTCCTCTGTCTACATCCCCTAAAACTGAAAACCTCTTGAATACATTTAATTTCCTTTACTTACATGTTATTACTGGATTTGTCAGCATTGGCTGAATGATGTTCACTTTAGATGAAACTGTGGCAGAAGCTAGAAAAAATTAAGAAAGAAAACAAAACCTAGTATAACAACATCAAAATTTGCACCTAAAATTGACCTAGAAAGGACTAGAAAGTTAATATGCCAGATCCAATGAAAGAATGTTAAGCTTGTTTTGCTTTACACAAGCCGTAGATCAGGTTAAAAGTGCGTACTAAAATTCAAAATCAGGATAGTTAAATAGTAAGAAATTGCTTTCAACTGTGGTGATCTGCATTTTCTACATTTTAATTTTGATCCTTTTATGAAATGCTGTATTGTGTTAGGAGAGGCAGAAATTCAGAGCCTTGCATACTGGAGTGCCTCAGAGACACTGAACAATACAAAACGTTAAGCTGTACTAAATTAGCCTGTTACTGGTACAAAAGTACAGTTACCTTCTCATTACACCTCCTCTTTCTAAGGAGGGAATAAAACGTTCAATTATCCTCTTTGCTCCCTGTTTAATATTTTCCTGTTAAGGGGCTGAAAACCCTTAGAAATGATGACAAGTTTGTTGTTCAGGATAATCAGAAATCATTGTATGGTAAAAATCAGTGAAGTTGGGTTGTCATCTTGATTTCCAAACATCAGCCACTGACTTTACTGCTTGCCAAAGTGGTCTCATTTCCTTGTTTAAAAGGAACCGAACATCCTGCACATGTATTCCACTTTGATTTTATGTATACATCTTCATGCGCATATGCATACAGCCTCTACAAACACATATCTGTTTTCTTAGTTACCTATTATTATGCAAATATAACCATACTGTGTATGTTTAGTAATTGGTATCTAATAAAGATATTACTATTCTTAGAGAGAGAGAGAGGCTTGTTAATACAGATTTATCTTTATTTGACATTACTGTCAATATACTAAGGAGGTTTTTTAGGCATTTTTATTATTTAGTAGAGATGTAGCAAATAAATACAAATACACAGTATAAACAAACTTACTGTTTTGTTGCTGCTGAACAACCTCAGTGCTTCTTGTTTCCTGTTGGATTTCATTCTGGGCTCCTGTGAAGAAATTGTAAAAAGCTATTAAGTACAATGTCCTGTATCTGAACTTTTAAAGCAAAGCATTTAGACAGGATCAAAGGATACAGATACATCTCTCTAAGACAAAGGGGAGAGTCCTTTATCACATCAGAAAAAATGAAACAGGTCCCCCAAAAAAGGCAAAATGTATTTATAGAAAGAGAGTTTCTATTACAAATACACAGAGTTTGAAATCCAAATAACATTTCATGAATATCTGCTTTCTTTGTTTCCCTTAACTCACTGCAAGGGATTCCAATGACTGGAATTGTTTCGCTGCTGCACTATATCTTGCTAATACGTGAAAAAATTACAGGAAGAATTCACAAAATGTAAGAGAGTCATTTATAACAATTGCTGTGTAGTAGCTAGGTAATAATAGGAAAAGGCACAGAACTGGTTAAAAGAAACAAGAGACTTAGGGCTTGATCCAATAATGGCTGCAGATATTTATATGCCAGTTTCTTTGGTGCCTAAGCATAGGGCCTTTTCTTCTGGAGCAAATCTAAAGTCTCAGTTGGGGATCTAGTTTTGCTGTGCAGCTAGATGCAAGAAGGCACTTCTGAGTGATAATACAAGGACCCATAGCCTGAGCAGTAACCCAGGAGAAGTAACCAAAAGAACCAGGTTTCCTGTTCTATCCCTCTTCTCACTCCGAGATGGTTCAAACTCACATCTTCTCTGCAGAAAACCTTAAGCATCACAGTGTAAGTCTATTTGACCAAGGGTTTTTGCTACCGCACCTGAAGCTGAGACATAGTGCCAAAACCAGTGGGACAGTGACAAAGGAGGTAAAAATAGGTCATGGTCATGTGACTACATGATTAGGGCATTCAGCTACATCAAAACTGTCCTATTCTTGTGCCTTGCTTCAAGGATTATTTTTGTACCTCCAGTTAAACAGTTACTAGATCAACTACATGAGCTGTCTTCCAGATGAGTTCTCCTTTTCTATCATGACTCCGTAAGTTTTTAATTCCTTTCCATGCATGGCCCAGCAATACCATACCAGAGGAGGTATTGGCAAAGACTTTTGAGAGATGACAAATACTGACCTGAACATTTTCATGCCTAGAAAAAGTCTGACTCTGAGCTCCTAAGTTGATGCTCTAAGCTCTTGTCTTTCATAAGAAACTATGGCAGGCATTTCCTGTAAAAGAAAAATGGCTACAACTTCATTTTGTGAAGGACTGAATCCTATCACCATGTGATAACCATGCTTGGAACATGTTGACTAACATGTATATATAACCTGCCAAATATAAATCCTCAAAGGATTTAGGTGATGAAATGACTAATATCTGAATCCTGAGCAGGGTTATGTGAATGAGCCCTCTAGGTGTCTAGAGAAATTGTCAGTCAAAGAGGAACTGTCTATGTAATTTAGTCCTAAGTTAAGCTCCTTTTTTAGTTATAGAATAGGTGGGAAGAGTTCACTGACTCAGAACTGATCCATAAGAACCATCTTACTGAACAGGGAGTCACACTGGTGGAAGAGGGGGAAATGGAGAACTTCTGGGTGTGCCATAAACCCCGGTCCCCTTTGGTGCTTACATTCCTTGCTGAGCATCTCCTTCACTTAAGAACCACAGCCCAGATGATTCCATGAAACTGGACAACTACTTTTGCCTTAAAAATAACCAGATCAGGAGCACCGTTTTTTATTATTGTTGTTTTTCCAGTGTAACTTCTGGCTGTGACCGCCATGTAAGCAGTTTGAGTACTTGATCCCAGAGCTGAAGGATGCCTGTCTGAAGGGATGCAATCCTCCACTCCTGAAGAGGTCCCCAAGACACTGCTGGCTTTGGAGGAGAGGGTTCTGGGCAGCCTCACCATATCTAGAAGTTGTTGCAGTGTCTGCAGTTTCTTTCAGACCTAAGTTTTTTATTTTTTTCTCATTTAAATTTATGTGTGACCAACCATTTTCCATTTCCTGTTAGTCTTTCAGCATCGCAGATAATATCATTAGGTAAATGTATTCATATCATTATAATTGATACTGATCAGGTGAGACAAATTGGTACTGATCAGGTGAGACAAATGCCTCTGTAAGTCTTAATAATAGGCCAGAATTTGTTTTCATCCAACACATCTACAGGAATCTCAGCAGGTATAGATTCATAGAATGTTTGTTTATTCTAGCATGAGAACAATTGTAACAAAGCAAATAGTATATATGCATATTTTGGTCTGTTAATTTTTCTCAAGGAAACAGTAGGGGCTTTTATTTACTTAGCAAATACATCATTCCCAAGGAAATTCTACCTGCATTGGTTTATTTAGCAGTTGCACAATGCCACATTCTTGACCATTATAAAAGTAAGTGTCTCTGTTGTAAGAATAGTCAAGATAATTTACTATTTGATAATTTGGGAACTGACCTGATTATTAAGAATATTTCTGGATACACCTTGCCAAGTCTATATCCAGCTGCCAATCCACATATGCAATTATTGTTACAGTTAATTTATAGAAGTTAGTATTTGACACAAAATACAAAGGCACAGAATGTTTGTGGAGATGGCATAGGATTGGGCCAATATTCTGTAGTCACTTAGGACATCTGAAAATATTTTCTGCAGAGTGTGATTTGAATAAAGAGGGGTTTGCTGGACACTATCTAATCACTACTCATTTTTCAAAGATTAGCATTGCACAGTACAAATAACCTTCTTGTTCAATAAATGGCTGAAGATGCTTTTGACTGACATTGCGTAGCTCTAAATGTAAGCTTATACTCCAAGTGACTGTTGTATTTTGTGCTTAAATCAACTTGGCAGTATTTTAGTGTTTATTTCACAAACTATAAAGTAGCCTAAAATTATATTTGCACTTGTCAATGTTTTCAAAATGGTATGTAAGATAAATTTACATAGGAAATCTGAAGCTTTAAAAATGTTAGCTGACAGCAGTAATTACTGTATGTGTATGGGACTGACTTAGCAAGCTTCTACTCATGCAAGTAATTTCAATTTGAGTGGTCCCATTGACTTAATAGGGCTATTCATATTAATAAAAATGGTCAAAACCAGTCATGACTGACAGGAAAAAAACCCAAACATACAAAATGATGGATTACATGTCAGGTAAATCTCCCAGTCCTGCTCACACTCAATATCAGTAATTTATGTAAATATTCTGCATAGGGTATTATCAATGCACAATTAGTTACTGAGAATCATTACAGCATGGATATTCCCTTCTAGTCTCTTTTGCATAAGAAGTTGAAAGAAATCTTGAGGAATCTGGTATTAGCTCCTGGTAGGTGACCAGTGGTCTGATCTAGCAACTGGAAAATGTATGTTTTAACTTTCATAGAAAACATAACATTCATAATCAATCCTAATGCAAAATGCAAGAGGAATAAAATGCTTTTGTAAGGCATAAGTGATATTGAAAAAGTGACATTTTAAGACATCAATAATGGTTCTTTTTGATTTGATCTTCAAGGCTACCTTCCAAATGTAGTTATATGCAGCAGTTTGATGCAATACTAAATTAAATCAGTTCATTTAATAGGTAGACATTAAATATTTAATGAAAATTGGAAAAAAAAAGATATAAAGAAATCTTGCTTAAATGCAATCATCTGTTAAATGACACAATAAAATTAGTATAGTTGTTTAAAATATATTACTAGATCTAAACAGAGTATTTTTTTCTTTTCCCAATAAAAAAAAAAGAGAACTTCTTACCTATCTGATGGATACAGCAAACTGCTAACAGGAAAGCCCATTCTGGTACCCATATCCCCCTGCCAAACCCCATCTTGAGTGGAGTCTGGCACAAGGATGTCAGATCTAAAGTTGGTCAGGAGGAGTAGTTCATCTGTGCTCTGTCAGTCTTATATAGTCGGTGACTTTGGCTTCAGTCCCAGATTGATTCAGAGAGTCTAGAAAGGTGGGGTTTGGGGGATTTTAGCAAATGAACAGGTAAACAGAGGATGCTCTTCCTTCCTTAGAAACTGGCCAGTGGTATTTGCATTTTGGGAGGAGTATATACATATACGTACGTATATTTTGTAAGGTTCAGTCTAAGAAAGAAACTTAACATGATTGCAAATAAAACACAACTCCTCCTCCACAAATAACAGGTCCTGGAACAAATTTAATTTGCTGTTGCTTTACAGTTATGCAGATGGCATGCAAGTAACTATTCTAAGTTTTTCAATACTGTAATGGATGCCAGGCAGCTCCTTGGCAAAAAAAAATCACTGATTTCCGAAGTCTGAGGAGGTGTGGAGTATTTAATATGTAGAGACCCAGCATTAGGAAGTCACTTTGTGCTTCTTGGAGCAGCTAATCATTTTGTAAAAAGAACAAACTAATAACCTTGAAGGGTCCAGTACTATCTATCACACAGTGACTCTGAGTGTATGCCATGGAAACCCTTCTGTGTGATAAGCATTAGGCACCTATCTGAGGAACATTAAGCCAGGTTCACCTAGGCTGTATCCTACATTTATTAGAGATGGGCTTAAACCTTGAAATCTACTTCTGAATTCTCTGCATAATCTGATTTTGCCTTCGTGTAGAAAATGTCAGGAGTAATTTCAGAGGGTCAGACAGCCTTACACCAGCTTTGTAGTAGAAAAAAATGTTAGATTGATGACAGCCTGCGACCATGATCATGTTGTTTCAGTATCATTCCTGTGTAATTCCATTCACATCTGTGGAGTTATGAGGACTACAAATTAGAGAAATAAGCAATGAATCAGGCCTATAAGGCTTACTAGTAAATTTTTAATATACTTTTTTTCTGAACATTGGCTATTTGCAGTTCTACTAGATGATCATTTAAAAAAAAAAATGAATGTATACTTCGATAAACACAGACAGTATTGCTACTTCATGTTACCTTATCCTTCTTTTTTAGCTTGACATTGGAGATAGGTAGGATGAGTTGCTCTGGGAAGATTTCTGTCTCTTTCTAAGGTCAATAGACCTTACTTTAATATGGTAAAAGACGGACAAAAATGTTCAAAGTTAGTGAAACCATTCTTTTAAAACTGCCAGGTTTGGCAAAAAATGATGCACAGTCCAGCACTTGGTATACACATAACTTTTGCCCTCAGTTCATCTTCATCTTCAGCCTCCTGCCAGTTTACAAGAATGAAGGTATCTGATAGATCCAAAAATCTGCATCATAAGAAATGGAATGAGAGCTGCTGCTCAGTGGGGGATTTACCAAGAGGCACCTGGGAGATACAATTGGGTTCGGGGAGCCACAGGAGAAGGACCCCCCCAAAAAAAACTCAACATGTATACCAGGATGTGTAGAGTTGCAGAAATGACTTTGTGTAAAATGGGATGGTATTATCTTCTGCATGTCTGGTAAGATTCCGTTCAGCAGTCTTTACCGATGTTTGTCATTTCTGCTGAAGCAGGGGAAGGAGACAAAGTTGGGAAGGTATCCTAATTGTAAAATGTGATCACAGATGGATGCCTAATTCCCTTGGGTTCTTACCAAAATCCTACCCTGCAATTATTAATTTAAAAATGTTTCCATAAAAGAATGGGAGAGTATAATACAATATTCCATTCAGGTGTTACTGAACTGAATGGTGTATTTTTTTTTTTCCCAATTTATTTCAGTTCAGCCCTTGTTTGCACTTTTGTTTAGCACTAAATATATTAGATCCTCACTCATTTAGTATTATAAAATAAAAAAAAAATAGTTCCTTTGTGAAGTATTATCTGGATTTGATTCTTGGACTGAAATCAGTCGTAGCTTACTATGGCATTGACTTAAGTCAATATAATGGCCTGGTATAGCATGAAACATGTTCCCTGTCAAAATATCCAGGATGTTTAATGAAGTTACATCTTCATCATCAGTAGTAAGCTGTTTACACACCCTAGATCTATATCTTCACGCTTCAGCAGACCAGGAGAAAAGAAAAGACTGGATTTCCTGCCCATAGAACGTTATTTTATTCTGTGCCAGTACTCATAATGAATATAAATTCATCTGTACACAGAGAAGGCAAAAGATATCGTGTTTATGTTACCAGTTAGCTGCATTAAATAAATATACACTAGTCTCACCTAAGCAATTAAACAAGCCACCCATCAAACTAGGCTTTCAGCAACTAATGTGCATGTACCTTTAGCAATGGGCTACATGTGATGGTCAAAAGTGGCAGAGCTTGCTTCCCTTCTCAGTTACACCCACCTCTACATGAGGAGAATAACAGAATACCAGGACCTTCTTGTGTCACTTTAAAACATTTGGAGGGAGTTTCTTGTTTCCCATTGGATACACCAGAGCAAGGGACTACTGATAAAGGGAGGAGTTTTCTGAGGGGGCAATTAGTGCTTTTGATACTCATCTGGTGAAGGTGAGGAGAGTGTCTGTACCTAGGATGACTAGGTGCGTCAGTGTGGTCAAGGCTTTTTTTTCCTTTTCCCTGTCTCTTTTATTGGAGTTGTTGCTAAGCAGAGTGCTAATATTGAACACTTCTTTTGTCTTCTAAGACTGTTTTCAGTTTTCACTCATTATAACTCTTTGTAACTAGAACAATGCATGTCAAGCTTGAATATGCTACTTCACTACGCATTTATCAGTGCACAGTATTATAAAACTGCTGTGAAGGTTATTCCAGTTGTATTTGAAGGTGTTCTTCAAAAGATGTTGCTCAGATATTTTTCTCAAAACTACATATTCTGGAGTTGTTGTAATTGCTACTGTTCAGACTGAAATATTTGATCCCCAAGGAGTAGTGACAGTCAAATGATGTTCCAGTGTTCAGCTTATCCAATCATTCAGCCTCTTTTTTTCCCTCCCTCTCCAGCACAAGGAGTGAGTGAAATTGGCAATAACAAAACAGGTAAAGAAGGAATTCAGATCACTCTGTTAGGTGGCTTATGAAATTTTGAAACTTATCAGACTATGAGATTTTACTGATTGCTGGGGGAATCATATCTGTAGGTGGTAAGTGTCACAAAACCCAGAAGGTTTTCAGTAAACGTATTCATTGGTCATGTGGGTGGTTGCTCCAAGTGGTTCTTGTAGATTTTAAAAAAAAAAAACAACTAGTTGGAGGATTTCTGAGTTTCCCAGATAGTACGGTGAAAAGAGTCTAGCTACATAGGCAGGGAGGAGCAAGGTCTCCTCTTCAGTTGTATGACAGGAAAGAAACCCTAGAAGCAAGTTTTGAAATATTTTAATAACAGAAACTTAAGCAGCTGTCTTTATTGTCAATATATACCAGGAATCTGCTAAGGGACCACGGTTTTGGTATTGCCTGGCACTAAAACAAAGAACTTTTGTTTGCAGGAGGGAATACTCTGGGAGATTTTGAAACCATCTTTGTTTCTTTCCTGCATTTTTGTCTGTTTTTCTCAGCTTTAATGCTATGTTAAACCCAGAAGGTTACCTTGACATCTCAGCATCAAATAACATGGAAATTAATTTAGGACAGATCTGTAGAGTTGATATAGACCAGCTCATTTTCTGGGAGGTTATTGGAAATTAATTACAATAGCCAAGGATCTGGCTGACAAAATATTCTTCTGACTGTTATTTTGATCTTGTATCAAAAATCTATACCAATGGATTGGTAACTAAAAATACCCCTTGTAACAGTAAATTCCATACATGTGTTACTTGGCCCATAATTCTGACAACGGCTATATTCTCTCCAATTTTACCTTTTCTTCTTGGTTTCTTGCATAGAAGTACGGACACAATCTGAGACATTAACTATACCAATTTAATGTAAAATTTCAAATGCCAGATAAAATATGGATATCATATACACTATAAATATTATAATTACAACCTGAAAGTAGATCATATAATGTAAGGGTGGCAAAGGCAAGTATTCAGAAGTTAGGAAGTGGTAGTATTAAGGCTACTAATGAAACCAAAATTCACCTGCCTTCTGTGTTCAAATTACAACTCCACTAGCACTGAGAACTTCTACCTCATCACAAGCATGATAAACCAGAGATAGTTGGGACCCAGGTAAAGCTGCATTGTGCCTCAGATCTTGCTTGCCATGTGAACTAGGAAAATGAATGAATAGTTGGATTGGTCAGAGAAAAGAATATTTATTGTGGCGTGGAAAGGTAAAGTAATGATAGTCTGCAATTAATGTAAAACAAGTTGGCATTAGCTTAAGCAGAGGATCTGGCACACCCTTTCCACCTAACTCTGTAGAGGTTTAGTTGGTCTTCTTGGCTTGTGCTGCTCATGCTTTTCTCATCTTTCTCTGATAGCCTCAGCCATTCTTTCCTTCCATCAGTCTACATGTGTCTCACCAGGGTTTTGCTTTCCAGCTCTACCCAGGGATTCACACTCACTCTCCACCTTTTTTTCAATGGCCTGTTAATTTCCTCCCAATAAATACGTGCACTGCCTCTGTGGAAGAAAATGGTGGACACGCTCTGGCCATAGGCCCCTTTCCCTGGTTCTTGGAATGGATGATGCAGTCTGTTTTCTGTTTAGTATAACACGTCACACCACTTGAGAAGTGTCAGAGAAGTTTCCCCCGGGAAACAAATCTGCACACAGCCTCATGGTGAAAAGCAGGTGGAGAGAGTGTTAAACTTGTACAGTGAATAGCAGATGAGCTCTGTGTTGTACATGGTTGTTATTGCTTTTTAGTTTGTTACATTAACTTTAGAATTGGTTATGCAAGGTACTATGGAAAGTAGAAGAAAACTCTGGCTGTGGATATTAGATAGTCTAAATGGAAAACAAGTGAGAGTTAAGAGTAGTGAAGGTTAGAAGAAATTAAGTAGCTTGCCTCATTTGTCAGTGAC